GACACTTTTTGTTGTCATTTTCTGAAATTGATTTCTATCGCTCTTTAATGGCTCGTAACTGACTGAGCCGTGGTCGGTATTCTGGTGGACCTGTCAGAAACCAAAAGCATAACGCTTTTTTGTACTCATTCTCGCTGTGCTCTGTGGATAAACGGAAAAGCAGTGGAACAGGCGGAGTAGTTCACATATCTCTTGGTAGTGTTTACTGGTGACGGAAAGTGAAACGAAGAAATCAACCGGCTAATTGAAATGGCCAACAGCGTCCTGCGAGAAGTAGGCCAAACTTGTAAATAAAGCAGGGCTGAGCCTCTAGCCTAATCTCTCTGTTTTCGGGTCATTCTTCAACCTGTTACTCACCTTCGGCCATAAGTCGTGTGCCATGACTGAAATATTCAATCCCGCGTACAGGCGGCTGAATTAGGCTCTTTGAGACGAAGCGCTAAGCTCACATACCTTGACACAGGGCAGAGTACAGCTATAGAGAGAGCCTTGGTGTACAGGCGCTGCTTCTCCAGATTGAGAAGTCACAGTAGTAATGGGTTGGTCGCATTTGGCGAATGCTGTCGAAAAAGAGGGCGAAACAGTTACCACTTGCCCAACCAATCGGCTGACAACCCTGGGGAGGACCAGAAAATAACCTTAGGCAAGTATGTCGAAGAATTTTATTCCAGACTCAGATTATTTGAAGCTCAAACTCCAGCACAGGATCTGGAAGGTTGGAGACACAGTCTGACACGTCTGTCTCTGCAAACTTCAAGGATAAACGGTCATCGAAATTGAGTGACTGATTGTTAGGCAACTTTTATAACTTTTCCATAAAGTTTTTAGGATAATTTAAAACTACGTAAGGGTGATTATTCAGAATATTACTTTTGGCATTATCGGCGCTAGAAATTAATTTAAAATATTGTTTCTGCGGTTTGGCGAATTTAACTAAATAATTATTGTTATTACAGAAGACAGAGTTAATGTAATGTTTATATGTTTAGTAAATTCATTACTGCAAAGTTTTAATACTTTGTCTATTAAATCTGTAGCTACAGATCTTTTATTCTTTAAATGATTGTGTATTAAAATTTAGATATTTTTCAGTATTAGTAGGCTTAAATAGTTCTTTAGATTTGTGATTCTGGGCCTATATTATATACATAGTTGTTTGATTGTTTCATGGTTCAGGGCACAAAATACAGCAGATGGTGAACAGTTTAGTGCCAACGCGTTTCATAGCACAGACTGCAGCATCATCCAGAATTGATAGCATTAAACTGTTTTCCATCTGCTGTATTTGGTGTCCCGAACCATGGATCATCCAAACAACTATGTATTACCAGGTTTATTATGAACTTTATTCTTATAGAAATTAGCCGGTATTTTATTCCGACATTAAGACGATGTAGACTAGAGTTATTTGTCTTTCAGTGGTTAACTCATCATGGAAAGAGGCTATGGAAAAGTTCTGGTACTTTATTTTTATCACCACTGAGGCATATGGCAAAAATATTGTAACACTTTTTGGAAATACGTCTGGATTCGTGTCTCAGGCCACATTTTAAATGTTTCATGAAAATTTCAGCAAAAATGGCGGAAAGTGGATTGCGCATGGGTCTTCGTTTGGTTTGTTTCAAGAAACCGTTATCGAAAAGGAATAATTAGCCTCTACAATGCGAAAACTTATTAACTTTATGATAGAGTAAACAGAGAGATATACGTTGTGTAAATGAATAATTTGTTGGAAGAAGTTTAAAAGTATTTGTGATAGTAATGTCAACAGGTATATTAGCAAAAAATCTGTGATATCGTAACTGACCATAAAGTCAGTGTGACGACCTGTTTTATGCTGTTTTTAGTATGACCATCAGTACTTAATCCGAAGTGCTTTCGCACATCGACTACTCCGTAAACTTTTTTGGACACCCGTAATTTTATTTTTTACAGAAAGCGAGAGATACGTAGCTAAATCTAGAGCTATGATTCATTTAAGGTCAACGCGTTAATGAATTTCAGGAATAAGAGAGGCAAAGTTCTGATTCCGGTTATGTAGAGAGCCTTAGAATAAAAAATATGCTTCAGGGAGCAGTGGTTATAGGTTCAGAATTGCAATGCAACCTTTTGATTAATACATACGCATTATAAAGCGTCGACGATAAGTAATTGCTTTATATCAAGTATCGTTTCCTTGGTCGACTATTATATGGATGCAGTAAGAACATCAATGTCCTCGAATGCTGATTTACTTCTACTGAAATTGGTAGGGTAAAACTAATGCATTTATTTACATTTACTGCCAAAGCAGTTTTGACTTAGAATTTGATATTTCAGGGTTGATACTAACACTGGCAAACAACATAAAATGGTTTCATTGCGCAGCGGTTAAACTGTCGATTTACCGACTACGAGACATTACAGGTGAGCTGCTGCAGACGATGAGAACACCAGCAGAATGCCAATTGTCTTGCCCGGAATAAAGATTTTTTAATTGTGCTGGATTCCAGACTTTAGCTTGGAAAGTAAGGAAGATTAGTAATCGCTGAAATGTCAGTTTTCCTTCACTTTCATGATTGGACCATTTTGGCGCCCTTCTTTTCATGGAGTTAATGATGCTTTGCTGATCTCCATTTCCATGCCATTAACCAGGAGTACCTTATTTTTTAAGGCAGAGTCAATAGCTATGTGGCAAGAATAGCGTTTAATCTCCTGTTCCTTCCCACAGTATAGTCATTTATCAACCTCGGAAGGAAGAAAGGTGAGTGACCCTTTTGGGGCTTGAGCTCATGACTTATCGACTCTGAGTTCGACGCATTACCCACTGAGCAACCCTGGTCTAAAGCAATTTGTGGTAAATTTTTTGCACAAGGGAATTTGTGTACAGGACAGGAATCGCCTTTGAGCAGAATCGAACGCGGCGCCTCCGAAATTCGAAAGAGGCCTCTTAGACAACTGTGCGAACTCGCCACATGGATTTACAGAAATTTCATTCAAACTTGTCTAGAATAGGTAATGTACAGACGTGATGCAGAACCGTATCCATGCACTGCAGGTGCTCAAATGCCATGGAGGCATTGGCCTGCTTAAATGGTCCCCTAGGCGACTGGAAGCAAGGGGACGGTGCTATTACGATTCTTCAATCCAGTATCAAATGAGTAAGTGTTAAATAAGTTACAGTTACTTGATCCAGGGAACAGTTAGAAAGGACGTTGTAACATCTTTTATTTGCCGTTAGTTTTCGACGCCGCAACCGGCGTCATCAAGGTAATGATATACCGGTGAAGCAGCAGGTGGTTATGCAAACAGTTATATAAAGTTTTAGTGACAGTATCTTTTGTTCCTTTATTCTTTTCGAACAAGTTGTATGTTGATACATACGCAGCGTATCATAATTATTAAGTTCCAAAGGTACGTAGAATTGTAAAATTACAACGCGAATTTGCACTCTAGCTTTAGCTAAAATTTCAAATTGAAAACAAAGTTATGACACGGTTAAATTATACACAGTGCAAACAATATGGTCACTTGGATGATTGACCAGTACCGAAGTCTCACAGGCCTTCTTCAAGGTAAAATGTTGGCTGAGTTTCAGATGCACTTCTTGTTTTCCGCAGCGATCGGTACTTTTGGGTCAAAAGGCATTCTGGCCTGTTTGCGCGGTGTATAAGTTAAACCGTGTTTATGCTGTTTTCATCATGATCACCAATGCACGAACGAAATACTCAGTTTTCGGATATAACCTTTGAAATTTTTTATGATCATGCTAATTTTGTACCTGAATAAAGACAGCTTATGATCCTCCAGACGTTAATCAGAATGAACGGTATGGTCGAATACCAAAATGGGAAGGATCACAACAGGTCAGTAAGAGTGTGATCGGAAAATATTACTCAGCAAGAATATCTTCTTAAAACTATGATTCACATCGACAAACTGTACACTAGCCTGCTGATGTGATTTGCCTTGAAAGCAGTGATTCTGTGGTATTTGGGTACCTGTGGTGTAGGACATGTGTCGCGTCATTTTACCGACTAGAGCAGTACGTAGCTCATGTTCATGGGGCTGTGCAAAATTCCGTAAAATCAGGCGATTAGACAAGTTGAGTGTTAGATTAAAAATTTTTTGGATATGAACCCATATTTTCTGGCTGTTCTGAAAGGCATAAAATAAACGCCTGATCCTATTAAATGACCTGAAAGATGCGCTTAGTACTTCGCATTCAAATACTATGGAGCCGTAACCTACTTAGTCTCATAGGCAGGTATGACAGTGCCTCCAGATAGTGCTCCGAGAAATCTGAATGCGTTAGCGCTATATCAGGTTAAAGAACAACTAGTCACACTGGTGTAATCCAGTGTTCATAAGACTACCGCATTATGCTTCTTTCGAGCTACTTTTCTTGGTTTGCTGTTGCCATTGGTGTTTTTTTCCGGTCGATTTGCTGTCTATCACTAGTTACGATGTCTAGTCCTGTACGAGGAACCCAAAATTGTAGTAGCATATTTCTATAGCGTGGCCAAAATAATGGAGGTTTTGTTTAACTGGTAAAAGTTAAAAAATATGTTCTTAAATTCTACGACAATTCTGACACACTGCTTACAGTTTCTGACAGCATAAGTGGAAGATATCCTTGAATATTCGTCTATCATAAAGTTATGCACGAACGAAATCAGCATGTATAAAACATTGGCTTAAGATGCGCAAACGCTGGAAAAATTTATTTGTAACGTTTATGTTACATTTTGAACAAATGATACAATGATACAGCGAACATAAATCGTGAATGCGTGATTGTCATTCGCAAATGAAGATTGAGTTTTACTGTTATTTTATACAAGGACCAGAAACACAGAAGGACGAACACGGCAACTTCACGAGCTTCGTAAGTATGGCACTGGAAACTGGAAAATGAACAGCTTGCTCGATCCGTGGACGGCGTTAGATTAATGCAAGCATTGAAGAACGATCATAACTGCTTGGCTGACTTCATCCAACGACGCTGACGATAGTTTGGCTTAGCTCCGTGCGCTCATGACGTCTCCGGCCTTCACTAACTTCTTAGACTTCTTCTCCAGCAACTTTCTGTCTTTCTCGACATGTGTCCTCAGGTCTTTGATGCGCCTTTTAATCAGCGCCCTATCGGCATGGTTCTGGACACCGACGGTCTACAAAGAAGTCGATCAGCCTAAGACCATGCACCATCCTTGACAGTGAAACAAAGTTACACCTTACCTTCAGTTTTGCACCGTCCAGTTGCAAGAATTTTGTGCCGTTAATCCGGTTGATTATGAATTCCGGTGTATACTTCTCCAATCCAACTGACTTCAAGAACTGGCACACGTCATCGCAGTCCCACCGTGTAACGTTGATGTCCTGATAATGAAAAATATACACTAAAGAACGGATCTATCGAATGTACGATGAGAACTATTGTAATAGTTCTAGATAACGATAATAACGTCATGAAAACAGAAAAATGTATCAAAACGGTTTATTTATACGTAGCGCAAACAAATAAGTTGGTCAAGCGGGTGAATGACCTGTACCGACGTTTCGGTTCCTCTTTCACGAGCCTTCTTCAGAGTCGCCTGGGTTGACTTTTGCAGTTGGTTGTGTGGTCCGCAGCTACGGTGACGTCTGGCCCCCTCTGTAGCAGCATGAACCAAAAGTACACCTTTGGCGTTAGACGCCACAACAGCTGCGGACCACACAATAGCAGTAAATACGGAATGCCTTGCCGAAACGTCTGTACTGGTTAATCACTAGATTGACCAACTTATTTGTTTGCGTTGGGTATAAATAAACCATTTCTATACGTTTTTCACTTTCGCTTTTCATTATGAACACCAATGCACGAACAAATTACTCATCAGTAACGTCATACAGATCTATTTTAAATTGTACTTAACCACAGGCTTTGGGGAACAGCACCGCACAGATGCTCGTCGTTTCCTGACTTGTATTTCTCACGCTTAAAGGTGAAGACCTGTTATGAATCTTGAAACCTTCGGTCAACGTCGTAATAACAGAACCTTCGTGCTTTGGATTTATGTAAAAATGTGGGGCAACTGCCTATATTTGTCCCCTAATAAATTTGAGTAGCTCAAATTCTGGTAAGTTCGATTCAGCGTCGAGCGTTCGTTAGTCCGGTTGAGTTTTCATTTGCGTTCGTCCTGCTGATGTAGATGAGTAAAAAGGTGTATGAGGGAAACATGAATGTACACGAGGCACAGATCATGCAGCCGTATATACAGCGGTGAAAGAAAGCAGCAAAATACGCATAGTTCATGATACAGTAACGCAGATGAGTATCGCAATATGAGTTGGATGAGAAAGAACGCTGCAAATGGTGTTCACTGATGAAAGTACAAGGTAGAATGACATCCTTACAGTTACAGTTTTTCGTTTTCCTTTGCTAATAAGAATGTGAAAGTGCGTACCACGGTTTGTGCCGTGAACACGCGACAAACTTAGCAGTACTGAAATTTAAAGTATGCTTTCTTCTTCAGTTGTTAGCAAGAATTAGGGTAACAACATTCTACTCACTTTCGTTGGCGAGCTAACGGTGATGAATTCGCCGACGTATGGATCTAGAACAAAACCGATCTTTCAGTTCCATAAATACAAGAGAAACATATGTAAAAGATGTCAGCAGTTCGGTTTAAAGCTCCATTTATGACTAACTTACAGCAAGTAAGACGACATTTCGAGCATTTAAATAATCAGATGCTTGATCGTTAA